GGGGGTGAAGGGGGGGGGGGGGGGGGGGGAGGTGGTCTAAGGTTTGGATTTACTTCTCATTATCCTTGATTTGATTTGTAGTAAATTAAATTTATTTTATTTCTTCCCCAAGTTGAGCCTGTCTTTTGCCCATGGACCATACATGGTGAGTGATCCCTCCCCGTCCTTGTCTTGACCCACAAGCTTTTCTTTATATTTTCTCCTCCCTCATCCCACCAGGACCTGGGGAGGGGGGGGGAGAGGAGTGACCGAACAGCTGCGTGGTGCTTTGTTACTGGCTGAGCTTAAACCATGACAAGGCCTAAACTACTTTATGCAAAACTTGCACAGTAGACTTATTCTGCAATCCAAACAATCTGCCTATGAATAACAGTTGACTGTATGACAATGCAACATTTCAGTAGCTTACTGCAGCTATGATCCCAATACCCTGCCAGAAAAGATGTGCAACTTCACTGCAATATTCTGCTGACAGTACAGGCTGCAAAGAACACACCTGATGGGAAGTATAAAAGGAATGAAATTTTTGCTTTTAACAGAACATGGGGCCTTATGGAATATTCACAAGAAGAAAAAATACAGAATTTTTCCAAGAGCAATAAATACAGTAAAATACATTTAAATTTAATTTAAAATCTAAGGGAGTAAAATGAAAATTAAAAGATGGCAGCTGTCAAAAGACAAATTTAATTATGTGTGCCCCAGGTCTAGTGCCTAGCATGAAGTTTGCTTCTTTCACTATTACCTTCCAGTTTGTATTGACAGCTTACAAGAAGATCAAGAAGGTGAAGGGGAAAGAACTTCACATTTCCGTGAATGGGGAACAAAAAAGAGAAAAGAAAAAAGAAATATTTAAATCACTATCTGTATCTTGTATTTAAATTTCAGGAAAAATATTGGGGGCATAAAGCCAGAAAATCCCTACCGTAAGAAGGCAGCACCTACTTTCAGTCTGTAGGTTTATGATCACTTAAGAATATTTTTTTAATGTCTTTCTAGCTACTGTATGCACTATAGAAGAATTAGTAATAGCCAACATACTGAAGCTTAAAGTGCAGCATCTGTCAGCTGTTAGAGAAGAATGTCACTGCAGTCTCAGAAATCACTAATAACTCCTAGAAATTGCTCACTTTAAACAACAACCTCAGCATCTGAGGTTGATCAAAAAATACTATTCTAACTATTACTCACTTTGATCCTAATTTTGTATGTTTCAAAAGGCCACTGTTAAGTAAAATACAACCACAAGAAAAAATGAACTCAAGAACTTAAAAAATTCTTGTCCAGGTGGGATAGAACAAAAACTGGTAAAAGTTTTGCTTGCTGTAAGTTCAGCTTGAGAATTTCAGACAAATATCCAAGCAGTCATATACAGGACTTGCTACTGTTATCAATCCACTCTTGAAACTACTGCTCTAAATTCAGTGAGCATCTTAAAAGATCTTTGAAAATAGCCAGCATAACCTGTGCATTCTAATGCTATCCAGTATTTCCTCAACAGAAAAATGAATCAGTTCAGAAGAGAAGCCCCCTTGCCAGGAAACAGCATTAACGTAGCAATTTTAACTCAGGCCATTTATAAATTCAACTCCTGAAACCAAAAGCAGGTGTTTCCGAGGAGAGGATATTTCATTCCTATACATGGACATTCATTACCTTTCTTCATTCCACTCTAAGTACCAAACAACAATTATTTTTCAGCTTGGTGCAAACTTAGCAAACACCATCTCCCCTCAGCTGCAAGGTTTAATTTATTTGCACGAGGAAAACGGCACTTTGAGTGCGTATGCAGCAAAGCAGCACATGCACATACGTACATACCCCTTCTGTCAAGTTCCTTGCTGCCAGTGTGAGGTGCGAACATTGCCCAGCTCTGGGCCCAGTGGTACCCAGCTCTGACGCAGTCCCAGCTGCGATGCCACAGCCACACTCTGTCCGGGGACACGGGATGCTCACAAGTACAAAGCAGAAGCTTTGTGCTGGAGCTGGAGCCGTCTCTTCTCGCAGGACCCACACCACATCCACTCTAAAACATGGCTTCTGCCAGATGAGCACCTGTAGTTGGGTCTGACACATGTCCCTACCTATATTAATGCCCACTATGTTACCCTGAGTACCAAAACATCTTCACATGAACCTGATGATTCAACACAATGTTGTGTGTACCAGTATTCAGGAAACCCAAGAGAAGAGTGTGTGGTCTGTTGGGCTGTGCTCAATAATTTTATAAGATGTGGATATAATAGTATTAAAGAACAATAACAAATAAAGTACTGATTACAGCTGAAAGGTCAAATAGTAGCCAGTAACTCTGACATTAAAAGACACTGGCATGGAACTCTGACCAAATTTAAGACAAAAATGTAATAGTAAAGAATATGAATGAAGACTCCTAAAATGACTACAACTCTCTTTAGAAAAAACCCACATGGCTGTTTCAGTATACAAGCTGTCACCATCACCCCTAAGCCTCCTGTTTTTATTATGCAGCAAAATGTTTCTCTAAAGTCCAGATGCTTACAGCCAGCAGCAGACCAGGAAAAAAGGTGCAAGAACCTACCATCACCAAAGATGTGATTCATGAGCTTTGTGAGCACTTGCTTCAGGTTGAACTCCACCAGCCTCACTGCCTCCATGGTGTGACACTCTTGCTTGTGTGCAGTGCGATGACCTTGCTCAAACAACTGTAAACCTTCACCATCTTTAATGTTGGAGAACAACTAGAACAAAACCACAGAAACACCAGTGTTTTGCATTAATGACTTCATCAACAAAAACAGAGAATGAAGTTTTATTGATTTAAGTGGGAATCTTACCTGCTAAGTCTGCACCATGAAAAGCTATGTAAAGACTGTGACTTTATAGAAATTCTGTTCACTAAACACAGAGATAAATCATCACAAGAACAGAAATATTCAAACAATAAGATTTGTTTCATTTCTGTACCATATCTTCAAATAATATGATTAGTTACAGGAAAATACTAATTTATAAAGGAAACATCTCTTTTTTTTTCCTGATCCTGTTACTTTGAAAGTTATTCTGCAGAACAAAGTACACTGTACAGTATATGCAAATTATAACCCCAAAACTACAATACACAATGGCATTCATCACAGCTTCAACTTATTTTAGTAACTGAATGATGTAAAAGAAATACCAAAAAACCCAGCACTTTTAAAAAGCTGTAATCAAATGAACTTTAAAAAAAACAAACCAACCAACCAAAAAAAAAAAAACCTAAACAAACAAAACCACCCACAACCCGGCAGTTTAATGGGACCTTCAGCTGCTTATATTTGATTCATCTTGGGTACAGTTTATTCATTTAAGGACTAGCATTTTCCTGCATTTTCCCACACACAGCACCTTTCTGCATACAGGAATTTTGTCTATGGGGCATGGTCTTGGTCTGGGGTTTCCAGATAAATTACAAAGCACAGGTGCAGGCTGTATTTGGGATGCAACAGGCTTGCTCTTCATGTAGAGGCTGCTCCCCGCACTGGCTGCAAGCTGAAGGTTTCTGTTTCCTGTACATCCCCATATGTTTCTGGCCAGGCGATCTGGACAGATAATACCAGCAAATCTACATCCTCTCAGAGAGACCAATAAACCACTGTTGCTAAGCCACATCATTGGAGGCTCTGTGTCTTGGGGAAACAAGCAGGCAGTTTTACACTCTAAAGAGAATTTTTGTTGGAAAACCTTATAGCTGTACAAAACCCAACTCTGTTAAGTCTGGAATGTACAGAGTGCTAACTGTGAAAGTGTTTCTAGTGCCCCTTCCTACCCCTCCTACTCCACCTTCCCACAGCCAACCAAGTACACACAGAGGGAAAAAACACACATTGAGATTTTCTTCACATTAAGCCTCTCAGCATAACTAGCTCTTACTCAGGAGACGCCACGAACAGTGTGTAACCTTAACAACTCACGGATGCCCACAGAAGCTGTTTTAATTGCAGTTTGATGCCTTCAGTGCACTAAATGCTCAAAAAAAGAGTTTAAGTGAACCTCTGGTAGCCTACAAGTGCTGGGCACAATTAATTAAGACTAGCTTCTAGCACGTTTCATACAGACACAATGCATGCAGAAAGAGTCTGAGTTTAGATAGCATGCAAACTAGCAGCAGAATGGATTGAGAGAATAAAAAAAATCCCATCAGTAGCATTTAACTTTGTATTGCTAGTCAGAAGGAGACTTGGCTGGCAGATTGAGAAAACACCTCTCAAGTTAATCTCCTTAGTGCGCTGCAGAAAAATACAAAATAAAAAAGGAAAAAGAGAAATCCATCAGTCTAATAAAAATGCCTTTACTAATCAAAAGGCAGCAGCTTGACAAAGCTAAGTATTACAATTTTAAATAACAGACTCTTTATTCAAGTGCTCACCTGAAAGATTAAACCCCCTTCTTCCTACTACCATTATTTCTGCCCTGGTTGGAAGAAGCAGATGATACTCACCCTATAACTAATTTACTGTCAGCAGGGCAGATCAGTCATCCAGCATGCAGTTTTGAAAACCAGAGGGTATTCACAGAGACCAGCATTAGCCTAGAGAGGTTAATCATCTTAGGCTTATGGGGCACAGGGTCCCTCACACAGGAACCTGCTCTGAACTACCCTCTACAGGTAGGTATTTTTTTCTTTCTATTGACAAAAGAGACTACCCTCAGTAAGCCAGAAACATCCTTCAGGCCAAAGATTTTCCCCCTTTGGACTAGGATACACTGTATTTACATATAGAAGATATATTTGTTATTCTCCTTATCCACAGTATTTTAGGACATGAAACTCTCTTTTTCCTTTTCCCCTTCATTCCTCCCTTCACCCCCCAGCTTAAAACTAGTTCCTCAGACTGCTGCAAGGAACAGATAGTCTGGACACTGCCTTTAAAATACAGCATTTGCATCAACAAGTACATAGAAGTACTTTTCCTTACCACTGTATTATTCCTGAAGTGTTGATATTGCAATTACTGTCTCAAGCAAAATTCTATTTTAGTAGATTATATCAGATGTGGCAATAAAATACGTGCAAGAACCATTAGAGTAAATACATTTAGTCATACCACAGCCCTCTAACCTGCCAGCCTCTTCATCCTGCCAAACCAGCCATATGCACCATCTCCTTATCCGTGCCAGGACAAGTGTCCATGCAGCGGTGCACTGAGCCAGGCTGGGAGGTAGATCTGGATGAGAAGTAACCAGGGAGAACGGAAGAAACCAAGGGACATGAAAACAGTCAAATTCAGCTCGGTAATCAATTCTCAGCATACTGGTGGCACTGAGACACACTGGCACGTGGGACAGGGCTGGGCCACTTTTGGCACAGGGATGAATCTATGCCAGTTTGCACAGGCTGTGAAAGCACAGCCTTAGGGGAGTCCCCGAAAGACAGGTTAGCAGCAAGGCAACAGCCCCCCTTACAGTCAGGCATACCTGACATACTGAGACACACTTTGGTATTCTCCATAGAGGCTCCATCAGCTCCTGTCAACTCCAGCACAGCTGTGGACAGGGTTCTACTGAGAAAATAAGATGCCTTACAGTTGTATTAATATTTATTCCCTTCTTTCCATTCACCAACACTGCTATGTCAATATGAGCAGCTTTAAACTGATAAACCAATTTCACTATTACAATGATTGAACTGTGTGCTAAGTACATGTGCTGGATTAGAAGCACTTCAACATTTCTATATACAGAAAGCCAAGAAAGTCAAAGCTTGAATAAAATGAAAAATCACCCAGTCACTCCTTTGTGGTGTCAATTATTCCCAAGCATATATCTGAGCAAATAGAGAAAATCTAACAGTCTTGCATAAAACACTGACACATCCAAGATGCCACAATTTCACGTACATTTATTCTTTCAGTGCAGACTAAAATGAAATGCACTATTTTATTGTATTAAATATGATCAGTTACTACTACTACTACCAGAAAAGAAACTTCCTGTAGCTGTAAATTGAGCCCCTATGTGTCTGTCTAGTGTAAGGACAAGAAGTTTTTTCTTTAAGTGAAGGTGTGCAAAACATTGAATATTGTGTCATCATGCAGAAGTTAATAATTACCAGGATTTATCAGCATATCTGACTGATGCTGCATTACAAAGGAGAAGGCAGAAAGGAGTCGAAGTGACCCTACCACACAGCATGAAATTTACTCACAACTTAACTCATAATAAGAATAAAGTCAAATTTGGTAACACGTAATGGTCAGAAGACACTGGGGTTTAACTGGGCAAATACAAACAGAGCTATGCTCCTTTAAAAGTACTTCATGGTATTTCTCAGCCTGGCACAGAGGACAGAAGTCACATGCGTGATTTCAATGAAGACCCCAAAATTTTGTCAGTCACTTGACAGACTTTTTTTAATCTCACATCAGTTCATTATCCTTATGTTTAGGATTCAGTCCAAGATCAAATGTCTCTCTACAGGATGGCATTCATAGTAGGTTTCAGATCAGAAAGATCTGTAGCTATATCCTGTCTTTCCACAATGCAGTTGTGTATTCCTCCTGCCAGTCATGCATACACCAGCAATTAAGATAATGAATACATAATGCTCATGTACTTATACTTACAGACAAACCAGCACTTAGGACTAGTTCTACATGAGGATCTGCATGTGGCAACACTCAACCTTGCCACACTGAATACATTTTGACTCACTGGCCCTGATAAATATCCCTATAAATGAACAAACAGCTGCACTCTAAATCCACTTACATATAGCAAACCATTTCCACAACGTATTAAATGTGCTGTAACACTCAACCAATGGATCAGGAATGCCACTTGAAGACCGCTCATCAAAAAGAAAACCTAATGCCAGTCCCAATCAGCCTCCAGGACAATGAAACTTGTAAACCTGCACCCCCATCCAGGCAGTTTCAGGTGACAAAGACATACACAGCCCATCATCTGCATGACAGAATGTTCTTTGCTGCATATAGATAAGCATTTGTTTGGCGAGAAAGTGGCAAAAATCACTTCAAGCAACAAGCTTGCAGGAGGTCACCTTAATTCTGAATCCTTCCATTTTCAGTCCTCCAGTTACAGAAAAGAAAGGTTACTTCTATTTGGTTTTTTTTAACCTAATCAAAGTGTTTCTGAAAAAAAACCAAAATCATCACCACACGTAAGGGAAAAACATACAAATGTTTTGGAACAGCAAAAAAAAAGCAACACTGCTACACAGTTGTCAGTTATAACAAGACACATATGATAGGACTCAGACTTCTGTTCCAGTGGCAATAGAAATCCTTTTATTTTTAAGCACCCTAGACTTCCCAAATACACCTGTAGACATTTTGTTCTTTTTTTTTCCTGCACAATTTAAATATCACATTGAATGAATTTAACTGCTTTATTCTGAAAAGCATTGTTGGATTTTTTTTTTTAGCTGGATGAGACAAAGTAAAACAAAGTTTGAAAAAAATATTTTATATAAAGTCATTGTGATAAAAGATGCACTACTGGCTTCCAAACTTTCTAGACCATGGACCACTATGAAAATCTCACAGACCTTCTGATGCCCTTTGCTGTCAAATTTTCAACTAAAAATAACAAAGAACACAATGTGGGTCCTTGGACCAGTGAAGCTCTATTTATTATAGCATGATTTATACACCACAGCTTGGAAAATATTGAATAATACAACATTCACAACTTGGGTAGACATTCGCAAGAGTGAAGTCAGTTCCACCTGAACTAG